AGGGTTTCCGGGATTTCTGCTTGTTTAATTCTCGTCTAAAAGGTTTTAATCTTGCAAACCGTAAAGCTGGTGGGGTCATACTTCCTACTTACTTACTCTGTGGAGGATGTGGCCAAGATTACGTCTGCCGTCTTCACTTCCCAGGACTTTACATGTTACTTACTTTAGGTTTCGTCGACCTGGGATTCAAGTCCTTTTTTTTTTTTTTTTTTTTTTTTTTTTTTTGTAAATCCGACTCAATTCTAACACACAAACCTCTCGGGCCAGCTCAATTCTAAACACAAACCTCTCGTGTCGGATCGATTCTAAACATAAACCTCTCGGGCCAGCTCGATTCTAAACACAAACCTCTCGTGTCGAATCGATTCTAAACACAAACCTCTCGGGCCAGCTCGATTCTAACACATAAACCTCTCGGGCCAGTTCGATTCTAACACATAAACCTCTCGGGCCAGTTCGATTCTAACACATAAACCTCTTGGGCCGGCTCAATTCTAACACATAAACCTCTCGGGCCAGCTCGATTCTAACACATAAACCTCTTGAGCCGGCTCAATTCTAACACATAAACCTCTCGGGCCAGCTCGATTCTAACACATAAACCTCTTGAGCCGGCTCAATTCTAACACACAAACCTCTCAGGCCGGATCGCAAGTTAATATGTTAATTTATTTATTAGTTAGTTAATCGACCAATCATCCTTGGATGCACACTTGACAAGTCCATGAGCGCTCAGATCCCATCTTCCGTTTCTCCATCAGCGTGAGGCTGCTGATAACACAAGTTCTGTGTTGGTTTACTGTTCTTCTTTGGCTACATGTGTAGTATTCTTGCCTGCCAAAAACTTCTTTTTCCGCAAAGTTCTTATAGTCTGTCAAGTTTGCTGATTCGCCGTCATCTCATGAATTATCTTCTCGACCTCCCTGCTTTTCCTGGGACTAGAATGACCCTGAGAACAAGCAAGTGCACTCGTTCATTCTCTCTGACCCCAGAGCGCCCTGTCACAAACATGAAACTCGCTGCCGCTAGAGACTTCCTCAATAGACTCTTCGAACCAATCCTGTCTCCATTTTCTTGAGCATACTCATGGAATCACTTTGAAATCTCGCATGGGGAACAGGTTGTGTCGAGCAAAGTTATGTCTTTCTTTAAAGCAGACAATTGTCTAACAGAGGAGTGACTGGCCGAACGGTTGGAACCCTAGGCTCTCAAGCGGAAGACCCGGGTTCAAATCTTCGGTAAGGCTGAGGATCTTTTCTGTCGGGGGGCAAAATAAAATCCTCACCTGCACAGTCGTGGCGACAGCACTAGCCATACGACCGTAAATCCTCAGGCTGAAAGACCCCCCCCCCCCCCCCTTTTTCCCGTTACCTACACTAAGTTGTAACAAAGGCAGTTTTTGTGTGTGGCAAAATTGCCTAACAGTTACGATTTTGCGGCTTCCAACAGTCTGCATGCAGACCTCTAACTGAGCCACTAGACATCAATTTGCAGCAATCTTTTCCAAATGTAATTAAGTTACAGCTCGAGGTTGTTGACATGCTCGACTGTACAGGCAACCAATGCAGCTACATCCAGAGCAAATTAATGAAGACAAACAATTCGAGCATCCTTGCAAGAAAGTGCTATGGCGGAAAAACAACTTTGTCTTTGGAAATCGAGATGTGTTTACAAATACTGACCGTGTACAAGAGCTTCAGAGCCTGAAGGTATCTGAGCCCCTCAGGCTCCGACGCTCAGATACCATCAGAGGGGCCTCCTCCGCCATTCCCTTCCCCAAGTTCTATCCCCACCCCTCTCCTTTTTAATACTAAAGTATCTCTCTGTCGCCCCTCTCTCTTTCTCTCTCTCTCTCTCTCTCTCTCTCTCTCTCTCTCTCTCTCTCTCTCTCTCTCTCTCTCTCTCTCTCTCTCTCTCTCTCTCTCTCTCTCTCTCTCTCTCGCTCTCTATTTCTCCTTTTTTTTTTTTTTACTTATAGGTTAGTAGCGTATCCTTTACAGGACGTTGCAGAAACAACCCCAACAGCCCCTGGCTGCTGTGTGGTTTGTCTAGGCAAATTTACGTTCAGTAGTTTGCCATTGCTTTCTGGATACCATTGTCGAAACCAGCGCAAGGCGCATGGCCCGCAGTTGGGATCGAACCCGGCATACCGGCATTACGAGGCGTTCGCATCCACTTATTTACTTATATATTTCACATTATTTCATATACAGTAGAACCTCGATTATCGCGATTATCCAGACTGACCACTGCCCGCCATACCTTCCTTTTTAGGTTGTGATTGTCTGTGCCTCTCCACTGTCCAGTTGCTTCTAAAGGGCGATAACCATCTCGCCGGCTATGCAGCAATGGTTCTCAAGGGCTTGGGATGTAGAAGAACATACAGATACGAATCGTTAAACTAGTCATTTCACCGGCCACTCTAAATATTTTAAGAGCCGCTGACTTGTTCTGCGAGTTTATTTTTCGGTTGCAGGAAGATGGCTGCAAACTGAGGTTCGTCTGTCCACGTGACAGACACAACAGAGCTAATTTAACCATCGTTGGCTCACAATGAGAACTGAGGTGTGTGTCTCTCTTGCACACGCGTCGCTGGCCCATCTGTTGGCTGACAAAACACCTTATAAGTGAGAGGACAGAAGAGATGCAAATTCTAAACACATCTCTTTCGATTAATAAACAAATTATCCTGGAGACATCTTCAATTTTCCGGGTTTGGCAACATCACTTTGAAAAGAATCTTTCACAAATCAACGTTGTGTATTCCCGTGTCTTTGTTTGGCCGCCGAGACACTAGGTATTAAACATAATCTCGATTTGTGAATTAAAAATTTAACTCAATTTTTTTCTTTTTGCGAATGTCAAGAAACTCGGTAATGCAACTTGTATTTGGTGAAGTATTTAAGCATGTGTTTTTCAACACTGTGTTCTAGTCAATAGTTGATACATAATTCTTCGTCCGAAATAGATAAGGTTCAGCTATGTGACTTTGAAATAATTAAAAGATTGAATTAAAATTAAATAATAAAGAACTGATTTTTAACACGTTCAGTCACAACCAAAGCACACTGTGTTAATATTTATTACCTTTGAGTATTCCCGCAGCACAGTATGTGTTGTATTGTTCATATTTGGTCCCTATGCGCTAAAGACATATAACTAAATAGTTTACAATACACCACAATGTATGTTGAGTCTTTTAAAGTACTTTGATGCTGCGGTTGTTGTGCCAGATTTTGTTTCTGCTGTGAAATCGTCTGGGATTGAAAGAGTTAATCAAGTACCAACGAACGAACTTTATTTCCAAAAGGTCACAAATTGGACACTCTCTTACATTGGGCCTTTACAAGCATTCGCCCTTCACGGGCCAGTTGTAGTTTGTGTACCAAGCATTCTGTGTTCATATAACCAAATTCTAAGTATGAATATAGTATAAACTATGTAAAAATCTAATACTGATAAAGTTTGAACAATGTGAAAAAATGTATTGATAAGGTATGAACTATGTGGACAATCTAATATTGATTTAGCATGAACTATGTGAAACAGTATATTGATAAAGTATGAACTATGTGAAAATCTAAACGAAACGACATCCAAACATCGCTATAGTCAATCAGCGTATTACTTCATTTGATGACGATGTGCTTGTGTTTTTGTATATTTAACTCCTTTGGAATTCTTCAAATTTTCCTTAACATGTCGGCTCTGTGGCTAAGTCGATGCGAACGCTTCGTAATGCCGGGATGCCGGGTTCGATCCCAGCTGGTTTCTACGGTGGTATCAAGAAAGCCGACCGTCCAGTAGCAATGGCAAACTACTGGACGTAAATTTGCCTAGAAAAACCACAAAGCGGCCAGAGGGTTTTGGGGTTGGTTCTGCAAAGTCCTGTAAAGGATACGCAACTAACCATCCCCCTTCCTTAACATATTGCGTATCTCTAAACCTAGAAAAACAGCTATACAAAACAATCTTCGCGTACTGCAGCTCAGCTGTGGAATCATCTACCACAAGAAATCAGAAATATCATTAATACATACAGTCGGAAACTATTTGAATTTTATCTCATTGTCTGCCCCTTTAAAGATTATAGTTTGTTAAGCATATAGTTTATTTCCCTTAGATGTGTTCTTTTAACTGAAAGTTATTATTTGAACGTATAGGAGCCAATCGAGCGCCTTCCAGCTTTTGTAAGTAATATTTAACTGTTGTCCATGGTGTGTATGTATGTTACGCAACCTATTAGACTTATAACGTTATTAGATTATGTTCATTGCTATACCATTTTTTAAATTTCAACAATGTAAGTATAATTAGAGCGCCTTCCAGCTTTTGTAAGTAATATTTAACTGTTGTCCATGGTGTGTATGTATGTTACGCAACCTATTAGACTGATAACGTTATTGGATTATGTTCGTTGCTATACTATTTTTTTAATTTCAACAATGTAAGTATAATTAGAGCGCATTTCAGATTTTGAAAAAAACTACTTAGATGTTGTTGAAAATGTTCATTGTTATCTGTAAAGTGATGTGCGAATTAATAGCTGCATGCAAGAAGTGTACTGAAAGGGTAGAATGTTAGACAGGCCTGCGTGCCCAATTCTGAACCCTTTGAAAATAAAGTTTGTTCGTTCTTAAGTTTCACCTGTTTCATATATTATGACATGTCATTTCTTTGATCTCACATGTCTATACTTTATTGTCCCATTTCAATAGTTCACCAGTCCATTCATGTTTTCTATATTTTCAGTCATCTTTCTTTTATTTTAGTTGTCTATACCCGCATTTCTTATCTTATTTCTCACCTCTGAACTCTCTAACCTCGCATATCTAATTCAACCCTCTAATTTTTAATTTCAGCTCTCTAATCTAAGTCAGCTAACGTTTTCCCTCACCATTCCACTAAGTTTTGACTTAACATTGTCCATGTCTAACTCACGATTGTTTTTTTTTTTTTCCTTTTTTTTCCAGAAGCTTTAAGAGCGGTCTGACGCCGCCATGAACGAGTCCAACAGCTGCAACACATCTCACCACAAGCATCACTGTGACTGCGATCTCCTGACCGCTTTTATAGCCTTCAAGGGCCACATTGGCCCACCACTGCTTCTCTTTGGAATCATCTGCAACATCCTAGCTTTCTTCACTCTACGACAGCCCAAGCTAAAGGAGTCTCCCTTTATTCACCTCACGGGGCTCACGGTTTCAGATCTGTCAGCGTTAGTTCTGATGTTCATCAGTCTCTACGAGACAAAATACAACAAACAATGGACCTACTACATCTGCTACATCTACTACCCGCTCATCAACACCGCAGCTTTGTTCTGCGTTTGGATTATGGTCATCATGACTTTGGAGCGATGTATTTTCATGCAGTTTCCCTTGTGGGCCCCAATATGGTGCACCAATTCCAGCGCCAAATTAAAAATTGTGATTGTGTTCTTGACTTGTATCGTCTTGAGCATTCCGCGCTTCTTTCTGTATAAAGTGATCAGCTTCAAACCACATCCCTGTGCTTATTTAAACACCAGTCAGAAAAGTGTGGAGCTTTTCCGTGTAACAGGAACTATTCGCGGAACCATTTTGGCCAATGTTCTTGCGTGGTTTTATAGTTGTATACATAACTTCCTGCCAGTCACCATTTTGTTGGTGTTGAACTCTTTCCTAATCTACAAAATCCGGGCTCAGCATAAGAGAAGGTCGCAGCTGGGGGTTCACAGCATCCTCCAACTGGGCCGAACTCACGAGCAGACACGCCTGACAATAACTCTGATAGCTATTACTGGAATCTACATAGTCTTGGTTCTTCCGTCTGCCTTCTCGGACACGAACATCAGTGACATTTTATTCGACAAGAAGAGGGCGGAACAGGGACTCTTCCAACATGTGTCCATTTTTCTATTCTGGCTGGATTTATCGTTTAACTTTCTCTTGTATACATTCGTCAATGTCAAATTTATGAGAGCTTTCAAGCAGATGATGAGTCGGTGGTACTCCCGAATCTATGGCTGTGTCGCCTGCTGCAAACTACCGCAGGCTCACGTTAAAAAAACGAACTCTTCTACGGCTACCTACGTAGACAGAAGAACGAAGGAACTTCCGCTTCGTCGTCACCCTGGCCTCCAGTCTGGGCGACCTTCTTGTTCATCGCGTCTGTTGACGTCACGCGGGCTTATCTGATAACTTTCGGAAAGATGTAGTAATTCACATTCCGATTCGCTAAAACACAAAGACAAGAGTCTGGGCTGTGGAATATCAGCGTACAAGAAGATTTGTTTCAGAAACTGTTGGATGACAACAAGACACAAGGCTGTGGATAGCACTTAAACTTATAATCAAAGCCACATTTTTCGTATTCTTCATGTGCACCGGCTCTTCTCACGTTTGCCGGCGGAAAGTCTTGGCTGTTCGTCCACTTCTAGATTTTTGATAATGATGATGATGACAATGATGATGATGACAATGATGATGATGACAATGATGATGATGATGACGATGAAAAAATGATAAAGATGACGATGACGACATTGAAATTGATGAAAACGATGATCACAATGATCACTATGATGAACATGAAAAAGATGATGATGATGATGATAATGATGATCACAATGATGATGATGATGAATAGGACAATGATGATGATTAATATGACAATGATGATGATAAATATGACAATGATGATGGTATGACAATGATGATAATGAATATGACAAAGATGATGATGAATATGATAATGATGATGATGATGATGACAGTGACAATGATGATGATGACGACAGTGATGATAATAATAATAATGATAATAATGATGATGACAATGTCAATGGGGATGATGATGACGACTATTATGATGACGACGATGATGATGACAACGAGGATGATGATAATGATGACAATTAAGATGATGACGATAATGATGACGATGATGATGACGTTGACAATGATGAAGATGACGACGATGATGATAATGATGATGATGATGATAACGTTGACAATGATGATGGTGATGCTGAGGATGATGATGACGATGACGATGGTGATGACTATTATTATGATGATGATGACGATGGTGATGACGATGATGATGATGATGACGATGATGATGACGATTATGATGATGACGATGATGATGATGATGACGATGATGATGATTATGATGATGATGACGACGATGGTGATGACGATGATGATGATAATGATGATGATGACGATGATGATGACGATGATGTGACGATGATGATGACGATGATGATGATGACGATGATGATGACGATGATGGTGACGACGATGGTGACAACGAGGATATGACGATGATGATGATGGCAACGATGGTGACTATGAGGATGATGACGATGATGATGATGATGATGATGGCGACAATGTTAAAGACGATGATGATGATGACGAGGATGAAGACGATGATGATAAGTTTGCTTTTTATTTTCTCAAGGGCACGATGTATTATGCATGTATATCTTCATGGCTGATTTGTGATTTAGAGGTTTACATCCAATCGCACCATGACATAGGGCGCGGTGTCACCACGCAGTATTCTCAAAACTACGAAAGGACAAACATGTCCACTTGAGGCAAATTCTGTTTTTAAAATTGTTCAATATTTAATTTATGTTTTTTTTTTTTTTAATATTTCTTTGGCCTGGCCAATTCTAAAAGATGTTTTTTTCTGGTTATATTCCCGCCCCCTTTCTTAGTTAAGTCCGCTTTCTCTGCCCCGGGAAGAAGACAATGAGTTTGTATAAAGTGTGTGGTGCGACGAATGTCCTCTCTACTGATTCACACAGCTTGGTTTCTTCCCGAATGTCAGCCAGCCAAACCTGGTTCAGCAAAGGTTTAGTAATCTAGCCTGCCCGTCAACATGGGCATAATAGAGCAATCCTATCGACGATTAAATGCCATGACGCCGCGAGGCATTCCAGGAGTAGAGAAAAGGGTTCTTTATGAATATCCTACCCTCAGATGACGTCACAGGACAGTCTTAAATTTTAGAGGGTGGTAAGACTAGGTTCCCGGCTTTCTGATGCTTTTAATGACCCTAAAACATCTAGAACTGGTCCTAACCCCAACATATCTACGTTCCACGAGAGAGTGCAGCCTAGGTCCCACGATGGCATGCAGCCTAGGTCCCACGACTGCATGCAGTCTATCTACCACCCACTGAAATATAAGACTGTCCCGTGACCTGTGGATTTCCCCTGTATGGTGTAGGATATTAATAAAGCACCGAGAACAGAAGAAGATTCAATGCGTCTTTAGTGCCCGACTGTTTATTCACTTCTAACAACTGCCTTAAACATATAATGCGTGTGTATGTGGTTGCATTTGCTGAGACTGCAGTCTATGTCGGCAGTTTTCACAAATGTCTTTTATTGCCAAGGATCTGGGCAATTATGGGGTGACCCGTTGGAATGAAGTTGGAACTCCAGTTACCTGATAACCTTATATTGTGAGAAGTATCGCACACTTTTAATTTTTTTAATAAACAATAAAACTTTTTTGTTACTTGGTCTTACATTTTTATGACTATTTGTCACATACTGCTGGTGTCACGTGCCTTGGTAAGGTTTCCCCTGATAAATCAAATAACACTCTGAAGTAGTGATAAAATGAGATGTTGGCTCGCAATGGTCTAGGCGGAATCCCGCAACTCCAATGAACATCCAAACTACTTCAGGGGTGAGGCGACGCAAACTATGGCACTACAGAACATAAATATATATATATATAGTAAATTATGCAATATAGTGATATTACACACACTCCAAGCAACTAGGAACAGTGAAGGATGAACACTAAACCACGAATGTAAAATTCACAAAACATTCTGTAATCAGTATAACCAATACAAGGATAAGGCAAAAGAATTCAATAAAATAAATGACACCGAGGAGACGAAGACAATTTATATATGACTAGAACAAGGGTTGCTCCCAGTAGCCGCCAATGTCATCATAGCTATGCGGTAGACCGATGGCACAGTGGACTAGGTAATTTTGGGTTAAGAGTGAACACAACTGCTGGAATATCACTCATCTGAATTCAGGTCCGATCCACTGTATCAGCTCCTTTCTATACATCTGGGATGGCTGGTACAAAATCACTAAACGGTTCTGTTCTTTAGCATATCTGACACTGCACTATTGAATACATCAGGCTGTTTACTATAGTATTACTCTGGCCAAAACACACAAATGTTTCTAACATAAAATCAGTCACTTTACTCGATGAATGCAGACCAAACGGCAAACAACCTCTGGCTTTACCATACAGCTCCCTGAGGATGGATCTCTCCCAATTGGTAACTACCTGGGCGAAGGAACAGACATGTCGGCAGACCTCATGGTAGTATCTTCTGGCTGCTGGTGGTGACGATTACTGGTGATATGGATATGTGGTGATTGTCAATCCAGTACTGGCCTCCGGCAAACTTACAATGCTGTTACAGAAGGAAAAACCAGCACTTAACCCCAAACCTGCATAGTTCGTTGCGTCTGCACTATTCTTCGTTTTCTTAGAGTCCATGCCGTGTAACGTTGGTAGTCACATCTGTCTACAACCTTCTGTCTTACTCTTCTAATAGTCCATACCGTGTGACGTTAGTAGTCACACCTGTCCACAACCTTCTGTCACGCCTACTTTTAATCATTTGTGACACAGATGATCTTTAATAACAAGATTTCAAACTGTCTAGCATCTTTCCTTTCCATGTCCCTCTGTCTCTCTTCCCCTCTAACTTTTACACCGTCACGATGTATTACGATTATCTCCTTCTCATGACACGACTAATCAATGAACATTGCCTCTTTCTGGTGTGGGCTTTCAGTTCTCTTCGTGAGTCCGTTACTTTCAACTAGGGCTGTACCGAATATTTTAAGTGTTCTGTCACTATCTCTAAGGCCTCGAATACGAATAGCTGGCCTACCGAACTATTCGGCATGAATACGAATAGTGAATCACCCCTAATCATGTCGAGACCTTTACCTGGACTCGACACAATACTTATAATATCTACATCTTCTAGTTGCTTTGACTTAGCGTCATTTTCCAAATTTGCAACATATTGGATATCTACATAGTTGCTTTGACTAGCGGCAACTAGATTATTTGTTATTTGGTTTCTTAGAAACCGATTTACTCATTGCTCCTGTATGCAAGGAACTACTTCTTACCAACGCATGAATTGAAATTTAGCGGTATTATTCTGCCGGCTTTCCTGGGACTCAGAAGTGTCCATCGACGCCAGTACATTTCATTTTAAAAAGGCGGTCTGTGGCGCCTAGGACTTTTCCTATGCTTGGGTAAGTTAATTATAGTTTACGAGTACCTAAAATGATGTCTGTTAAAGTAGTCACTGCTGTAGAGAGATCAGTATCGGCTGTGGGATCACACATAGTTCGACCGTTCTTGATCGCTAGAGAAGCGGATTCGAACTTAGACCTTTCTCTGTACAGACTAAATAACCTATGCCCTAAATAACTCACACATACTGGTAAAAATAATAAGTGTGTACTATTTAAACTAGCAACAGAAGTTTGTGCATACAAATGGGGAAAGAGAATTTGGGTCAGGACTTGGTCAGCAGTGCGTGAGTGTGTTTGACCCAGATCAATGAATGTGTGGGACTGGCTTGAGAGTCGTAGGGAACAGAGGTACTGACGGTAAATATTGGTGTCTGTGTGCAGATGGGAGGGGGGAGATAGATTGATATATGTGTTAGAGTGTCTATCTATCTCCACTATATATCTGACTTTCCATCTCTTGCACTAAACAGACAGATAGGAGACAGTGTCTCCTGGTCTTGAGAGTGCACTCTGAGGAATGAAACAGGGGAGCAGAGGTGGAGTAGGCTGATATGGGATGGTGACTGATACTTATTCTGTCTTTCCTGTCAAGATGTTACCCTCTTAGTTATGACTAATTCTGAGTTCTTTCTTGGCAGGATGAAACCTTTGTGAAGAGCGAGCAGAAGAATCACAGTCCAACCAACCAACCATCAACCTATTACCTACCAATTATCATCCAACTACCAGGTGTGGAGATTGATGTCAGTTTGGGGTGCCATATACCCCAAACTTCCTACAGTGCCAGAACATGTGTGTAGCTCAGGAACAGTGCTGCTAATGACTAGTGGGAGACATTTGCTGTGTGCCTATCCAGTT